AAGGTTTCGCTGGCAGCCAGCAGTCCCCGCAGCTTGGCCCCTTCCACATGGCCGGGCCCTGGTTTTTCATGCTGAACCCCGCAAGAGAGACCTCACCACAAGCCCCTCCAGCCCTATATATCCCTGGCGCACACTCCACCTCCTCCTCCTCATCCCTGCTCCTGGGCCAAGGGTGGAGAAAGCCCTGGCAGCCTTCCCCAGACCTCTCTGGAGGTGTCACCTGCTGCCATCACAGTGTGGCTGGGGGACATCCTCCTGCCCTTAAGTGAGAGCAGGCATGGGAGAGGGCTCAAAGTGCAAGGAATGAAACCTGGACTGGTTTACCCAGCTGATATATTAGCAGAGCTGTTAACAGATCTATAATTCATTCTCAGCCCAGACTTTATTCACTGTAATTATGTCTTTAATTAGGATTTTAATGGCTCATTGTTCACGAACAATGATGAATAGGAGTTTTAAAACAAAAAAAATATATATCTCTATTCTGGGCGAGCTGTGAGTAAGAGTCCGTCAGGGCCTTCACTCCTCCCTCACTTCTCAGCATTTTTTTTTTGTTTTATCTTTTCCCTTCAAGCATCTTGTATAAAGAGGTCCCACTTAGACCTGTTCCCAGCAGTGGGACCTCGGACATGTCCCCACTTCAGATACAGTCCCCTGCCAGATCCCCATGTGCCCTGGGCCATGTGCTGCCCTCCAGCAAAGGGACGTTCCTGGGACCCAGGGCTGCTTGCTGGGTGACACGTGGTGTGAAGGGCTCAGTCCTTTCAGGAGAACTAGCCACAGCCTGTGTCTAGTTTTCAGTGGCCAAGTTGGCTTGGGGAATAAATTCCAGTCCTTCTATTTTTTGGTCACTGTACATGGGGAAAAGCTGGTTGGAAAACGGTATTTCTGTGTCCTGTAGGAAATCCTGAAGCTTGGAAATACGGTTGCTTCTTTCTTGCCTAAATCAGCCACAGTGCCCGAGCCTCTAGCTAATTGATAGAAGGAAATTTTCTAAAGAATTTTGATCAAGGAAAGCTGGAAATAGTGTTATGGAAGGCACCAAGAACACATTTCTCTACTCCTGTGTTCTATGTGAGTTTTAGTATAGCAACCTTCAGGATAATTATTGCAAAATAAGAATCCAGATGAAATGTTCCACCTTGGTTTTGTTTCAGTTTGAAACTTTCCAGTCAAGTAATTTGTGAAGGTGCTCTCAGTACCCAGGAAAATGCAACTGTGGTATGTCAGGGGGGGCATCACCCACCCACCGAGACAGATCCCAAAGGGAGGACAAGGACAGGACAGCGGTTTCTGTCTTCCCCAGCCCTCCCAGCACCACCACTTTGACCCGTGGGTCTTGCTGCTCTCCAGCCCTTTGGCCACAGGACCGAGATTGGCAGGACCTGTCAACTGCAGGGGTGCCAGAGGAAACCTGGCCCCCATACCCTTGATCTGTCCCCTCCTTTCGCAGCTGGCGTCCCCTTCCTGATGACAGCCGAGCTCTTCATGCAGTCTCACCGCCCAGCTGCCTACATCGTGGGAGGGTCTCTCAACTGGCTCTGCAACTTCACCGTTGGCTTCATCTTCCCCTTCTTGCAGGTACCCATCCAGAGGGGCTGTGGGAGGAGGAGGGGATGGGCATGGCCCTGCTGCTCCCTCAGGGTGGGAGCCAAGTCAGGCTTAACCCAAAGAATGTCCGCGTTTCTGGCTCAGCTCAGTGCTGGCAGGAACCAGCCTGGGGAGAGGTGACGGGAGGGAACACGGCCTTGTGTCATGCCCAGCTTGGGGATGCCTGGCTCTGTGACCCATCCCTGCTCTCTTATTGTCCCCAGATGTCAGCTGGTGCATTTTGCTACCTGGTTTTCTGTGGCATCTGCCTGCTGGTGGCCATATATATCTACCTCATCGTCCCTGAGACCAAGAACAAAACTTTCATGGAGATCAGCCACATCTTTGCCACCCGCCGCTCCTTCCTCTCCATCCCCACCCACCTCATCGGGATGATGAAGCTCGATGGCTACGGGGCCTTGGAGAGCAGCTCCCTGGAGGGCTCGGGCTCCAGCCTGCCCTGATCTGGGTGGGCTGGTGGGGATGGGGATGGAAGAGGAGGCTCAGGGGTGGGGAGGAAGGTGGGGACCAATTTGCTTGGGCTTGATCAGGTCTGAGTCTCCCAGGACACCTCGCCGTGCTGCAGGGTGAGCACCAAAGATGCACCAAGTTTGTGCCAACCTGACCACTGCACATCACTCCCCATGCTGGGAGAGATGCTTTCCCAGAGACGGGAGGCTCACATTGCTTATGGGTATGTGGACTTGCTGAGAGCTACCCACACGAGGTGTTTAATAAAGAACATTGACTCCAGAGCCATCATTCAGCAAGTGCAGCCTGGGCTGGTGGCAAGCTAGAGTGTGCTGGCACAGATCGGTGCTCACTCAGTGCTGAGGAGGAGCAGGGTAGGATGGGGAGGCTTGTCATCCTCCCCACTGTGCCTGGCTGGAAAGGTCAAAGTCCTCCCCACATTTCCTAGGAAGGGTGGTTGGGTGGCTCCTTGGTTCTTGCATCTCACCACGGATTGGTCATGCAAACCCAAGGGCTGTTGCAGAAGGGACGTGGAGCAGCCTCATGCTGAGGGTGACTACCTGGCCACCATGCTCTTCCACAGCCTGCTGGAAGCCCCTTGCTGCCTGTCCTCGTGTGCTGGACCCACAGAGAGCACTCCTGTGAGACCCCTGCACCCTTCCAAACTCTGCTGAGGGCAAATGGGTCCTGGGTACACCCATGTCCTTTTACTGCACCCCACGAATTGCTGTGACCCCGAGGTGCTCTCCAAGCACAATCTCTCCCACATCTCTGCCCTGAATCCTGGGGGCTTCCTTGTTTCTGGGACTGCTGTGGGCATGGCAGTTGCATGAGCCAGGATCTCCACAGCAGCTCCCACGAACGCCATGGGGTTGAGGGCATCCCAGTCTGTCAGGCCCTCAGGGAGCTATAGTTTGCAGGGAAACTACAATAATTTGCTCTGGTAGGAGGTAAAAGCCAGGCAGTGAGGAAGACTGTGAAGCCAAAACCCTCTGGTACAAATACAAGCACAATTTCTTTTGTTGAAAATAATTCAGCCCTCTTTTTTTCCCAGTTACCCACTCTGTGATGGGCCCACAGTTTGCATGTTTGGTGCTCGTGGTCACTTGGCGAGGAGCTCACCCTTTCTGCATCCCTTGGCAAAGCCTCGGGGTGCCTCTGGGGGGTGGGTGGGAGCTGGACCCAGGGGAACAGGGACTGGTTCATACTGGGTCCTCAGCACCCTGTCCCAGTCCCTCCATCCTCAGCAGCCGTCTCGGGGCTCTCCTGCATCTCGAGCCATTTAAAGGACATCAGTCAAAGTGAGGGTCACAGCTCCACAGCACCAGCCGCTTCCCACTCCGTCTCCCTCCCGACTCGGCTGCTCTCGGCAGCAGAACAGAGCGGTAAATATGTGCAGCATTACATATGTATAATGGAGTGTAAATAACCCCAAAAAGTGCATTGTAAATAGACTCCAAGTTTATCCTTTATTAATGAGGCACTGAGTGCCCTGCTGTTTTAGAGCAGCGAGACTTTCATAATATCAAAACCTAAATTACACTTGTGTCTCTCATTCCCAGCAAACGACAGCATCATTTCAGGCCTCTTTGCCACTTGTATTTATTTATTCTGGTACTTATTTATCTCACCCACCCATCATGCAGGGTGGCTTGAAAGATGCCCCCTGCCCTCCATGTGGGAGGCAATGGCCCCCCTGGGAGCAGCCCCCCATCCTGATATCCTGGAGCAACCACGGAGCTGAGGTGTCACCTTATGGCCAAGGACTGCTCTGTGCTGGCTGATGAGATGAGGCAGACCTGGGAAACATAAGGTCAGGACCTGTTTCTGTCAGAGGCTCAGACACCACCAGAGCATGAAGTCCTCTCTTTCCAAGGCCTGGAGGTCACTGGCATAATCCTGTGGTGCCTTTTGGTTGCATTTGCCCCTGGGGACACTTTTGAGGGTACTGTGCCAAGTGACATGTCCATCCTTCCATGAGGATCAGGAAGGCTGGGAGTGAGGAAACCCGTTGCTCATGGGACACTATCTTCCCATCAGCTTCTTCTTTAGGATATTGGGCTTTGTCTGGGGCTGTCAGTCCAAGCTGCCCCCTGACACTGATCTGGTTACTCTTGCAAAAGCAGGATTTCGGCTTCCCCGCTGTTTGCCCTGCCCAAGGAGGCATCCCCAGCTGTTCCCCTGCAGGCTTCTCATGAAGGATTGTTGTGGTTTGAGCCTGGCCGGTGGCCAGGTGCCCACAGAGCTGCTCTATCACCCCTCCTTCTCTGCTAGACAGGGGGAGAAAATATAATGAAGTTTGAGATAAGGACAGGGATATCACCCACATCTACCATCCTGGGCAAAACAGACTCAATTTTGGGGAGATTAGTTAAATTTATTAAAGAAAAAAACAGAGAAGGGTAGTGAGAGATAAAAACAGACCTTAAAAAAATAACACCTTCTCCCCATCCCTGCCTTCCTCCTGGGCAAAACATCAATCCCAATTTATCCACCTCCTCCCCTCCAGCGGTGCAGAGGGACAGGGAATGGAGGTTATGGTCAGTTCATCCAATGCTGGTTCCACCTCTTCTTCTTCCTCCAGGGGAGGACTCTTCACTCTTCCCCTGGACCATTGTGGGGTCCCTCTCGCAGGAGAGATCTTCACACAGTCTTCTCCAAAGTGAGTCCTCTCATGAGAGACAATTCATCACAAACCGCCCAACGCGAGTCCCCTCATGAG